GAATCGAAAAAAAAAATCTTACATGGGAAGTAATTACACAAAAGGGCTTGAAGGTGGAGCAAGTCAGAGCTTGGCAGAGAAAACCAGCTGACACGAGAAGTTTAAAGGAGCTTTTCTCATTTCTCAGCTGGTACCCGCTGCTGGTACAGAGCAGTGACATTTCAGCTGCGTATTGACCATTTGCTATCCGCAAATTCATTTTTTACTACGGCGCTGTAGTAACAAAGCAAAGATTCTGCTATAAAAACCCCGGGGCCACGTTCTGATCACTCATGCAGACACAAAGCCAAGAAAACCGCTCCAAATATACGCTAGGGTACCCAAAAATACGATGCCCAAAGTACATCAAACCTCTCCCTCCCGCTGAACCCCCCCAAGAAGGAAGCTGATCTCTGAACATCACCGCTGTGAGGCCATTGGGACCGTTGAGGCACGTTATCATTATAGACTGCAGCGTAAGGTACCTGCTGGAATGCAAAATGCCCAGGGAGGACGTCAGCTGGAAGCGTGGTTTCTTCAAGTATTTCTTTCTTCACACACAGCACTGGAAAGAAAACAAACAAATAAATAAATCGCACAAAGCCAGGAGCCTTCAGGCGTCTGGAATGACCTCATGCTCAGCACCCAAAAGGTCACCCAGTGAGTGAGACTCCTTGGGACTTCTCCCCTGTGACAGCTTTTGTCCAAAGGACACCACGTGGATCAATTCAGCCATAATTAAAGGTTTTGGGAATGGGTGAACGGGACAATCCTTCTCACAGCCAGAAGCAACCACCCAGTGACCAGAACAAACCTCCCGTTATCTGCTACCTCTGTTATCAAGGTCTTGTTGTTGCAAACCGTGCTGTGAGCGAAATCATCGCAGAAACACGCATTTTGTTTTGCTGGTAGAGTTCTGGGGAGCTGGTTTATTGCAGCTGGTGGAAAATTTTGTACAGGGAAGGCTCAAAGCCCACCCCGCATTTGAGGTGTGTGGAGTATCTACCCACGTGGCATCACCTGAATGGTTTAGACAACAGAAAAATGTCACTTTTTGATGCCATCTTCTAGAATTAGTGGACCGATGCTGTGTGGGGATACAGACAGTGGAGAGATGAGATGGTCCCAGTGCAAGGTGCTTGCAAGACGACGGCCCAGGTCTCTGGGCAGAATATTCAAAGCCAGAAGACTAAACCATATGCTGTTCTACTATAGCAACAAGAGGTGGGCAGCAATCTGCTGAGACCCCTGTCTTGTGAGGGAAGCGGAGAAACTTGCAGAGCCAAAACCTGCATTAATTTGGGGAGGGCAATGAAATTACGTGGCAATTAGAAGCAAGGGAAGACAAAGACATCAGTTAAACAACCCAAGGATGCAGCATCCTCCCACTAACGTGGTAACCATCAATGAGGATGGTGCTTAATTACTGGGTGGGACCTAGAACATCGCTATACCCCAGTCTGCCATTAAAAAAAAAATCCTATGCCTGCTTAAAATATGACAGGGTTGGAACTGAGCAGTGTTCAATACTCGTGACTCAGGGCAGAAATTTCTCTACGGCTGCAAGTGCTCTCAGCCCCACAGTCCAGCACTGGGTGGCATGAGCATCTAATTCCTCCAACATACCTTTGGGGCTGCGAATATTTGCTGCCATAATACCTTTCTAAACTGCCTAACTTTGCCAGACATGAGGATTTTGCCACTGTGTTATGCTACGGTGAAGAACAGACCCCAACCAACCTGCTCATCTCACGCCTACGGCGCGGGGGGGAGTTTGGAAGCACAGAAGATGAGATTGGGAAGAGGTTCATCGCTCCATCAGCCCAGCTGCTGGAGAAAAGGAGAGGCGGGTGTTAGTGCCGGTGGGGAGATGGATGGAAAACCAGTGTCTGTGGGATTACAGCAATGTGAGGAAATTCTCCAGCTGCCTGTAACTTGGCCCTCAGGTCCCTTGTGAAGAAGGGTCCTCTGGGGTATCACCAAACAGGGGGGGCATTTCAGATGGCAAGATGCAGCTCGAACCAGGTGCAGATGTTAAATCTCTGCTGCCTGTGACTGCTCTGGTGGTGGATGAAGCCCTTTGCGACACCCCGGACTTCGCAGAGGATGACACCCCAGAAAAAATAAATCAATCACCCGCCTCACGCACCACCAGCCACCCAGCCTCACGGTGCCGGGGGCGGGTGGTGGAAGAAGATGAACCAGAGCTTGGTAAAAAATTCAAAAGCACCTTTTGGGCTTGGGAGAGC